ATATTAGTAAATATTAACATAGTAAAATAAAATAAAGTAGAAATATACATGATAATACATAAGAATGCAATTAGAAATAAGAAAGTCCTGTAAAGAAAAAGTGGAGATTATTATTGTCTCCTGATTAAGAGTCTGTTAGATTGCTCGCCAATAAAGCAAAAGTCAAGATTATAATGACCCATTATAGGGTATGGTCTGATTTATAATTATGAGGTATGGTCCATTATGAGTCGTATGATTCATATTGTTTTATATTTGTCCGTGATTTAGTCATGTCCGAGTTAATTGTCAATAATCAGTGCCATTATATAAAATTATAGTGCCATTTTAAGGTTATTTGCCATTATATTTTGCTGCCATTGAGTTAAACTCACATGGTCAGTATGGCATCACTTGTAAAAAAGTGAGCCACTGGCCTCAGGGAGGCGTCTTCAGCTAAGTTTTCGAACTCAAAAACTGAGTCGAAATTTGCTGCAGTACACGTCAACGCTTTCTTGAAAAAGTTTCGATTGAGTTTGGTAAAGTGATGTTCGAAACTATCTAACTCTAAGTCTGAGTGAATGTCAACATTCCTCTCGTACCACTCTGCGCCTGTTAGTTTTCGCAGGATCTTGTTCTGCGTGGCTGTGAGTTTCCCAAGCTCACTCCCTGAAACATTACACCATGCTGGCGAGGCATAGGTCATGATCGGTCTTATCATGGAGGTGTACAGTAACCTCTTAAGTTTCAGGCTCATCTTCCCACTGTACATCAAGCTTTGCAGTTTTATAGTTGCAGCGTTTGCCTTGTTCTTAACATTTTTAACATGGTCCGACCAGGTCAGTCTGCTGTTAATAACTAGACCTAAATAAGTTGCCTTTTTAACTCTTGGTATAACTTGGTTAAATAGTACAAGTTCATTATGCTCTCTGATTGATTTCCTTGTCTTTTGGATAATCAACAGTTGGGACTTTTGAGCATTTACTTCAAATCTCCAGTCTAAACACCACTCTTCGTAGTCGTATATCTTATCCTGCAGTTTTTCTATAGCTAAGTTTGGATCTCTAGATCTTACTATGACCCCAGTGTCATCAGCATAAAATGCAGTTAAACTATTCCAATCGCCCCTATCTATTGGAAAGTCGTGTGTAAAAAGGATATATAAGATTGGTCCGAGGATGCTACCTTGCGGTACTCCTGCTTTTATACTCCTTAGAGTTGAACAAACATTTCTCATTTTGATCTGAAAGTTCCTTTCAGTCAGGTAGCTGTGTACAAATTTCACTAGTCCTGCAGGGAATGCCAGTTCTATAAGTTTGTATATAATTCCCTTGTGCCATACTCTGTCAAACGCTTTGCTGATGTCAAGCATTAATAAAGCTGATGTCTGCTTTAAGTGCAGTCCCCTGCCAATATAATCTACAATCCTTAGCAGTTGCTTTGTAGTATCGAGTTTCGCCCTGAACCCGTACTGCTCGTCTGGCAAACAACCGAGAAATGGTTTGAGTCTTGTGTATACTATTCTTTCCAGTATTTTCCCAAGAGTGCATAGCAAACTTATAGGTCTATAGCTGGTAGGAGATAGTAAGTCTTTGTTTGGCTTTGGAAAGAGAATGATATTGGCAGTTTTCCACACAGATGGAAAGTAGTTTTGCGATAAACATGCATTATATATCTTTGTAAGATATTCTACGTAATGATCTGGTAGGGCTTTGATCATTTTGTTTTTAACGTTATCTAAGCCAGGGGCTTTTCTATTATGCAGTTTTGTTATGATTGTTTTAACTTCCTGTGGGTTTGTATATTCAATCAGCTCAGGTTCTCTATGTTCTGCTAAATAACTCTCAACGCTTTCATTCACTAGTCTTTCATTGTGAGGATTATAGTTTTTGTTTAAGGTGAACTGCTCTTCCATACAGTCAGCAAAAACCTCAGCTTTCTCTCTTTCAGTGCATACAAAGCCGTTTGATGTTCTTAACGGCTTATTCTTTTGCGGGTCCGTGCGCAGTGCTTTTGCCAATTTCCAAATTGAATTGTCTTGGGTACAAAGACTTTCCACTTTTTCATTCCACTGCCGCGTTCTAAAGTTTTTGCACATATTCTTTATCTTTCTGTTCAGTTCTATATATTCCTCTTTAAAGAGAGGGTCTGATGTGCTTTGATATCTCTTCCTACACCAGTTTCTTTGTTTGATAAGATATTTTATTTCTGGTGGGAGCCTTAGGAAGTTCACTTTATACACTTTAGAGGTACTTGCATCCGAATGAGCGTCCTGTAAGGAAGTTTGAAAACACCTTATAGCGTCTTCTATGCTATCTCTGGTCTCTAAGCTTTGTTCCATCAATTCCTTTCTTTTCAAAATGTTTTCATAAAGATTCCAGTTTGTGCTGGTAATCATTCTGGGCTCTTTTTCCACTATTACGCCAACTGATGTTAGGACAGGGTGATGATCTGATGATAGATCATTTATCGTGCTTGCCACCATCGGTACTTTCATGTTTGTTATTACGAAGTCTAGAATATCAGGGATATGACCTCTGATAACAGGATAGTATGTGGGCTCAGTGGGTGCCACCACTGTTAGTTTGAGTTGGTTGACTATCCTTTTCAAACTAATTCCATTTGCATTAGTTCTATTGCAGCCCCAGATTGAGTGTTTAGAATTGTAGTCGCCAGCTACAATTGTATCGTAACCACCTTCGAATAGACTTTTAAATTGTGCCTCTGTGATGGTATGTGCAGGTGTATTGTACAGGCCTACGATCTTCAATGTTTCATTGTTGTAGTTTAAAAGGATCGAAACATGTTCCATACCATTGTCCTGAGCTTGGTCATACTCATTGTGCTTGAGACTGTTCTTGACAAGGATTGCCACTCCTCCTCCCCTATAGTTTCTGTCACACCTATAGGTCGTATAGTTAGCAACTTTGATATTACAGGTTTTGTTCAGGTGAGTCTCAGTTATTACAAATACGTCGGGATCGTATTGTAGTATAAAATCTTTGAGCTCGGCTAACTTATTTCTTAAACTATTTGCGTTCCAATTGAACAAGCTGAGGTGAGACTTTCTCTTACAAGAACTAGTCATCATAGCTGATTGATTTGAGTGTTTTTAAAAGATCAAACAATCCTTCATTTTTGATAGAGTGCACTAAGTCCTTGAGTTCATTCATTACTGAGTGAGCTTCGCTTAAGTCATTTTGTTTTTCAACATTGGGGTAATTAGCCTCTCTGTTGTAGGTCCGCCTTTGATTTGGATAAATATATTTTGATTCTCTAGTCACCTTAATCGGGTACTTGGGACAGTTTCGATAGTTGGAGGGATGTGCTCCACCACAGTTTGCACACTTAGCAGGGGTGCTCCTGCTATTCTCACATGCATGAGTAAAATGCCCCTCTCCACATTTCAAACATTTTATCACCTGATTGCAGGAATCCTAAACGTGATTAAACCCTTGTCATCTGTAACACTGGGTTACGTGGTTCGTTCTGCCTTTGTAAGACTCAACTCTTATTTTCAAATTGAGAAAAGACCTGAGATCAAAGATCTCCTTGTTTTTCTCGTTCTTGGGCAGTGTTACTATAAATAATGGAAGGTTTTTGAGTGCACCGTCTCGAAAACTTCTCATTTGTTTCACTTTCAGAAAAGTAAATTCTAGTGCAATCAGCGCACTTTCAATTTCGCTTGTTTCCAAATAAGAATATCCTTCATTACTACTCTAAGGGGTTTGTCTCCTTTCAAGTTGTGGGTGAAAAATTTAATATTTTCATCTCTAAAATGCTTTGTGACAACTCGAAAGTCGTCTTCATTAGCTAAAGTCAGTTTTATCGAATCACCAAAAACTTTACCAGTAAATCCAGTCATTCCTAGAAAATCTCTAAGAATTTTTGTAATACTAGTCCAGGTTTGCTGGTTATCATTGATAGTAATCGGAGGGACTTTCCGTTTCTTAATCTTTTGGATTTGGAACCCATCTAAATCCATCTCTTCATTTTCGCTATCATAATTCTTAATTTCATTATCATTATCAACTTTTACTCTTCGCTCTCTTCTGCTTCTATTTCTACTTCTTTCTCAACTTCTAATTCTACAACTTTCTCCTTTTCCACCACTTTTGCCTTTTTTACAGGTCCGCTTTTATCATCACTGTCAGATGTTAGAACAGAGCTGACCTTTTCTATCGCTTTCTTAACTTTTTCCCCTTTTTTCCTCTTTTTCTGAGGTAAGTTTGATTTAGGTTTTTCTACCGTGACCTCTTTCACGATCTCTATGTCTTTCACAGGGGGAATGGGCAGTTCCTCTCTCTGTGTCAACATTTTTTGCAAGTGCCTATTCTCTTGTCTCAATTTTTCATTCTCTAGCAGAAGTTTATCTATCTTTTCATTCATAGATTTCATCTGCTCTGCCATAATAGCCAATGCCCCATCATTGCTATTTGTACTTCCACTAGTGTTATTTCCACTCANGGTGGCAAAATCCAAGTTTAATTTGGAGAATTTCTTGCACTGAAATAATTGTAACGCTTCTGTCCCACGCTATTAAGCTCTTTTCGCAGGAAAAGAGTTTAATACCGAGGGACAGAAGCGTTCAACTTATTTCAGTGCATATTTACATAGAAATTAAACTTGGATTTTGCCACCACTTTTTACTTTTTTAAAGCAATTGCGTGGGAACGATCATTCAAGTGCTTCTAATGACTGAAATGGAGGTGTGTATCAAGAATCTAGAAGGAATTATCTGTTTATTTGTTAAATTTTATATGTATTATATAAAATAATATATTATACATATTTAATTTTATCATTTAACTATTTTTACAGATATAAAAGAAACAAAAAAAGAATTCATGAAGGCAATTTAATAAAAAACTAAAAGATTTTACACATATATTCTCTTTACATAGATAATAAAATGTAAAAAGTGGTGGAAATTTATAAAAAATCAAATTGCATAAGTTTTTAATTCTGCCACCACCTTTTGTTTCACACTAGTGCTTTTATTTATCGGGGGGGTGTACATAATTTGTTGGCTCTGAAAAGAGCCTTTTTTTTTAAATGTGTTTTTCAGGTATCTATTTCTTTGCCTTCTTGGGGGATGCTTTCTTGGGTGTCTTCATTTTCTTAACTTTGGGTGCTTTTGGTTTGGTTGCAGCTTTAGCCTTGGGCTTTTTTGGAGTCTTGGGTTTTGCAGCCGGTTTCTTAGCGACAGGCTTTTTAGCTGCTGCTTTAGCTTTCGGTTTTGCGGCTTTCTTCACAGATGCGGCTTTTGGTTTTTTGGGGGTTGCTGATTCCTTCTTCGGCTTCTTTACTCCTTCCTTGGTTTTTTGGCCGGATGCGCCGAGTTTAAAAGAACCGGTGGCACCTTTTCCCTTAGTTTGCATTAAAGAACCACTGACGACGGCTTTTTTCAAGTATTTCTTAATGAAGGGAGTGAGACGTTCCAAATCGACCTTGTGGTGAGAGCCGATGTGTTTCTTGATAGCCTGCAACGAAGAACCACCTCGTTCTTTCAAACTGGTGATAGCTTCGTTAACCATCTCGGAAACTTTAGGATGAGAAGGCAAGGTTTTAGGGGTCCGGAGCTTAGGCCCCTCCCACTCTTCCTCATCATACAGATGGACACGCCCACCAGCAGAAAAATCTACAACATAAGCTCCATTTTGGAGAGAGATGTTATAGTAGAAAGATTCAGAGGAGGACGATTCCAGACACAATGCTTCAGGTGTCAGAAATATGGCCACACCCAGCGCAACTGCCAAGCCCAGGGGTGAAAGCGAGACGGAAAAGAGGAAAGGCTGGTAGTAAAACCATTTCAGTTATAGCTAGTTTTGGGGAGGAGTTTACTTATTCTTTTTTTACATTTTTCAACAATATCTACTTTATCTTGGAAAAGAAGCAGTTTTATATATATGCCAGAATTATAAAAGAAATCTTGATAGTTACAGATATTTCATTTTTTTCGAAAAAAATGCTGGAATGAAATGTTTTACGTACCAGGTTTTTCTCTTTTCCGTCTTGCTATATAAGGGCTTTCACCCATGGCCAAGCCACCGAACCAGCCTGCATGAAATGCGCAGAAGCTCATCCTACGTACTATTGTACGAAACCTAGATCCACTCCTGCCAAATGCATTAACTGTGATGGTGAGCACCCGGCCTGTTTCTCGGGCTGCGGTGCAAGACCCAGGAAATTCACACATAGAAGAAGAGCCCAACCCAAGACAACCAAAGATGCTGCCAGCAGATTCCTGCTCCTCTTCAAAGAGATGAAAGAACTACTGCAAAACGAAGAGCTTGTTAAGCTGCTCCGTTCCCTACTTCCAGAGCCGCAGAATTGAGTGTGTTCTGCATCCTCCCAGGACTTACAGTGATTCACTGTAAATTTTTTCACCACATATTTTTCAACATGAAATCTATGCCTAAGCAACTTAAACTCTACAGTTTAGACGAATCAGTTAGCGGCGCTTCGCGCCGAATACTGAGATTTTCTACATTTCCAACGTTCCAACGTACTTTTTGATCTATCAAAGACTTTTTGAATGCCATAACAGTGGAAAAACCAATTAATTTCGATAATATTAAACCACTTTTTCCATAAAACCACTTTTTGTATCATTTCCATATATAAACAGAGATGCCAACTTGCTCCGGACATCAAATATATATTTTAAAGTGGTAGTTTAGCAATTGTGATTCTTGGTTTGAAAAATTCAATTTAGTAAATTTTTTTCACCACTACTTCTAAATAATTCGCAGGCTTATATAATTCACCACTTTATAGTACTTATGTCATGCTATACCTTTTAAAAAGCAAGCAAAAGTAGTCAAATATTTGCAAAATTTACTTTGTAGTTATTTACCGTTTTTTTAATTATTTTGGCGTGTCCGGAGCAGTTGGCATCTCTGTATAAATTCGGGACAAAACGGGTTAAATTACTGGTAAAATGGTTTTCTTATGACGATCACGCCGGAAAAAGTGAAAATACTGGTACGGGAAAAGAGAAAATACTTGTAGAAAAACTATTTAAATATTAGATAATAGTCGGGAGGAGTTAATCTATTCTCAACAATAACGATTCAATGCAAGGAAGTTTATCTCGGATAATATAAAAATTGCATCCGTTAAAAATAATTGGTAGTTATGGAATTTTATTATTCTGAGAAAAGAACTAAAAAATGAAATTTATTTGTTACCAGCTTTTACTCCGGTGCGCTGCCAAGATGAGACAATCCAGCGTGACCCCCCGGTGGGTCACCCCGGCGTGAACATGTTAAACTTACAAAGTTTGCACAAATAATTACACTCGGGAACAAATTTATAGCATTGATGCAACTTTTGGACCTAATTGGGTGTGGAGATTAATCTTGTATCAAACGGTGTGAAAACTAATCTTTTTTCCTAATTTTAACGAAATGTAAGTTTCTAAACCTCCTTCAAACAAGGACGATTAAAGCACTTGACCCTGGCAAAAGTAGGTGTTGCAGATTGTTGGCAATTCAATTTTAAAAAGACAATAGGATTGTGTAATTTTCACGCACATTGTTTACCTCATAAAAGAAGATTAATAGTTAGAGGAATTAATTTTCAGAATAAAATACAGTTGAAAATAATGTAAAATAAATTCTCCTTTTGAGATCATTGAAATATCTTTAGAGATCTTGCATTTTGACTAAGTCCTTTTAATTGCAACAACAAAGGATTTGTGATTGAACTTAAATAAATATAGAAAATTATCAGAATATGTTTTTTTCTTCCTTTTTCATTTACATACAAATTAATTTATCTTTTCTATTTCGTTTGTGTGTATAGCAAATTTAACACTACTTTCGTTCGGAAAAATACACATGTATATCAAAATTATTTTTTGTTTAGCTTTTTGGATGAATATTTAAAAACATATGATGTTAAAATATCGCGTCGATAATTAAAATATATTATCAATTTCTTCCTTACCCACCCTGCGTACGACAGAAATGGAGACACTTAGCATTCACTCGAAAGAATTTTAAAAAAGTCTGGTTTGAAATTGAATATGATATGATGCTCTTCTTAACAAGTGGTTCACATTTGAGAAAAAAAAAACTGCATTTTTTATACTTAAATGGTTTAAAAATATTAGGACATCGAACAAAAAAGTCTCTATGCATTTATCCACTGAGGAAAATATTGTGAACAATGAAAAAATTTTGGGGAATGTTTGAATATATATTAATTATGCAGCTGATGCTATTTTGGGATCATGATTAAAATAAAATATTAAAATTGTTTTCATTGAACTCTGTTAAATGATTTAAATGGACAACATATGGATTTCTTATATTTAATACATTAACAGTGAAACACTATCTTTTACACAAATCTACTATTCCCCGAAATGTCAAATGTCTCTATTTTATCTTTCTCGTTGTAGCAAAGTTTATGCCATTTTTAGTGAAATATTTTTCATTTTGAATATTTTTTCCACAAAGATCATATCAAAAATGCAAAGCATCGTATAAAATGCAACTTTACTGCATTTATTTCACGATTACTCTTTAAAGGGTGGGCGTAATTATTCATAATTTTTTTTCTATTTATTGTGCTACCAATTTCTGAAAACATTCTCAAAAAGAGAAGAAATTTGCATCTCTGAATTCCTGGTTGTTTATTGAGAGAATATTGGATACTTTATGAGTAACAATATAACATATTCAAATAACAATTAGAATTTAAAAAAAAATATTTGACCATTACATAGTATTATAGTTTTTTTTTTCAAGTACCTCTCCTCGCATGAAAAACTTTTTCTAGGAAAACAGCTCTTGTGAAGTATTATCAAATTATATATAATAAGGCCAATGTCGAAAACAATAGTTAATATAATTTAGCCGAAATATTACCAAGGAAAGCCTTTGGTATTAATACGTGGATATATTAACTGGGCGGATGTTATGTTACGCGCTTCCTGGAGTGATTATTAAGTTAACCATTTAATGTGCTCCATTAACATTTTGACGATTCTGAACGAGTTCGGCTCGCAATCGAATCGTGCTTCATAATGCGCGCAAACGAGTTCCGCTCGGGAGCAAGATTTCGACCGTAATGGTTAGTAACGAGCACTACTCGCGTAGTGAAATTTCTTCCCGATGCGCGCTGACGAGCTGAGCTTGTTCGCCATTATTATTCTGCATTGACTATGTTAAAAACGAATCCTACTCGCGAAACGTAGTTAGTTTTACTACTACAGATGTCAGTACGAGTTCCAAGAATTTCTTTACAGACTGAAGGGGGAATTTATTTTTTTACCTTGTTCCTTTTAGGCGTATTTTGGCGCGTTTTTAGGATGTTTGTAAAGTAAAATGGCTGAAAAGCGAAAGTTAGATAATTATGATGATGATACAGAAAGCTTATAAAGTTTCGAGTCTGAAGAAGACTTTGTTCAGAATATTTAAGTAATTACTGTATTTAAATGCTTCATAAAGTTTTACATAAGTTGTATTTATTTAGGCGATGCCAACTTGCTCCTCTTTGTAAAATAGTATTTCCAAGTGGTAGCGAAATTCAAGTTACTTTCAGTTTAGTATTTTTCCTTTTAAGTAATTTTGTCACCACTACATATCAAAAATTATAAGTATCATATAAAATGCAACGTAAAGCAGCGATCTACAGTTTAGGTTACTCTATCAAAAAGTAGCATATCTGCCAACTTTCACTCTTTCCGAGAATGGATTTTCAGAGTGGTTGTAAAACAATAAACGAAAAACAATCTGACTCAAAAGTATATTTATATTTTGATTCCGTTGAAATTCGCTTGGGCAAGGATTATTATGCTTTCTTATATTTATTGTAATTTTTTATATTCAGTGGTGGTCAAACTCATTTATAATTATCATTATAATTCAAAAAGTTAATTAGAATAACCTGAGTATTGCTACCATTTTAAATATGAAAATAAAATCTTCAGTTGGCAGGTATGAAGTAGGCGTAACTGTCCTTCTCCAACGAATTTTACTGCGTAATTTGTTACCACTTTATTATAGCAATTCCAGAAAGCGGAGCAGTTGGCATCCCCAGAGAAGGGTGACATTTTCGATAGAACGGCGGGGGAAAACAGCTGCCACTTTCGACTACTGTTTGCTCGTATTAATGAAACGAAAACTGCACATTTCCCTAACCGTCAAAGGGTTAAAAGAGAAGCAGTTTGCATCTCTGTGTTCCTGGTTGGAAAATATTGGATATTTTATGGGTAACAATATAACATATTTAAATATAGCAATTAAAATAAAATCAAAATATTTGACCTTTTACATTGTATTATCGTTATTAACGTCGATTACCTCTCCTTGGTTGAAAAACTTTCTCTAGGAAAACAGCTTTTGTAAAGTAGTTTCAAATTATATATAGTTAATATAATTTAGCCGAAATATTCGCAAGGAAATTCTTAGATAATAATACTCCGATATATTCAGAGATACCAACTTGCTCCGGACAGCAAATATATATTTTAAAGTGGTAGTTTATCAATTGTAATCCTTGGTTTAATAAATTCAATTTAGTAGATTTTTATCCACCACTATTTCTAAATAATTATTAG